CTACAAAGTGCTCAGGGGCAGAGCATAATTTATTTATTCATTTCCAACAGGTGAAACCCAATTACGGGAAATACTGAAAAAAATAACAATTAAAGAGACATGGTTATTGGACTTAAATCTATAGTATCACACATTCTAAATAAGATTGGATGATCTATAGCAGTTAATAATCTAAATATATAGTATTACACATTCTAAATAAGATTGGATGATCTATAACAGTTAATAATCGATGCACAACTGTCACTGTAAATATCACACGATTCAGTAACACTGTTCATGACGCAGCACATGAGATTAATTGGCGATTTTGTCATAACATTTGTACGGCCAGCTTGACAATAGAATGCCGTTTGTTGTCGACTCCCTAGCATTGGAACGCGGAAAAATATTTTTTCAAGTAAATTTTGACAGTCAATTTTATTGTGAACAAGGCCATACAAAAACGACAAAAAAAATATGTTTCGTCTTGTTGACAGTGAATCCAAGTTGAAAAACTCTAATAGGGCACTATGGTCACAACCTCTTTCTGGATAAGAACTTGTGCATTTAAGGTGAAAATACTTTAAGGCTTTACGTTGAATGGCCGCAAGGGTCACGACAGAATTTTGGTATATAGGACACTAGATCAGAGTCGCATACTCCAACTTGCTCCTGACAAAAGTAAAAACTAAAGTCATTAATGTATCAACATTGGAGAAACCCTTCCAGTTTCTGATACAGAAACCAAGTAGTCGAGTGGCAGCCGACGAGATATTGAGTATGTGCTCAGTAAACGTTAGCTTGGTATCAAAAGTGACTCCAAGGTCTCTATAAGAGGTGCATCTGTCTATAACCTGACCACTGATGTTATAATCATCATAAATTAAATGATTAACCTTTCTTGTATAAGTCATAACTTTACATTTCGAAACATTCAGACTGAGACAGTTTCGTGAACACCATGACGAAATTAGAGCTAAGTCATCTTGCAACATGACGCAATCCTCGACTGTCTTGACTGACGTGCAGATTTTAAGGTCATCAGCGAAAAACAAATGGAAACACTTCAGTTCAAAAGACAAGTCATTAATAAATATCAAAAACAGTAATGGACCTAGATTTGACCTTATAGGTACCCCGGACGTGGCCCGATAGTAACTCGACCTATGACCACCATATTCGACAAATAACCTTCTATCCCTCAAATATGAATTTATGAGCGACAGCATTGCATCAGACATGCCCACTGTTTTAAGCTTATCCAGAAGTGCATAATGATCAACTTGATCAAACGCCTTCTGAATATCTGTGTAGATGACATCAACTTGACCCTGACCGTCCAGTACTTCAGAAATGTACTGAGTAATTAGAGCCAAGTTGATGACCGTAGATCTGCCTCTCATAAACCCATGCTGATTAATAGAGACTGCATCCCTGACCGAGCAGTAAACCGTTTCATAAGCGATGATCTCAAACAACTTGCTGAAATTGAACAGGATTGCTATTTGGCGATAGTTGGAAATATCAGAGATATCTCCACTTTTGTGAATAGGACATATTTTAGAGGTCTTCCAGATATTTGAATATGTCTCTGATTTTAGAATTAGGTTGAATATGGAAGCCAGCGGTTTCGCTAGGGTATGAATACCATCACATCCAGACGTCATTTTGTTCTTTAATCTTTTCGAAGACCTAATCACGTTTTCTTCACCTATATTTTTTAAAGAAATGATATCGGTAGAATTATTTGTTGGAGGAGATGACCCTAGTAGACCAGACGGGATAAAAACTGTTGAAAAGAAGGTAGCAAAACTGTTCACTATATCCTGAGGCGTATCGCAGACATTGCCGTTAAACTTCATCCTTGGGGGGATTCTAGATTGTTGTTTTTTGATCTGGGCAAATGACCAGAATTTGCTAGGATCATTGACAATGGCATCCTCAACCGATTGGACGTAAGCGGAGTAGGCAACACTGATCTGGTTCTTAAAAGCTTCCTAAAATTACTGAACTGATCATAAGAAAACTTAGTACCATCACGTTTCCAGTTCCTTCTTGCTATGTCCTTCTTCTTGATATTAAGTATAATTTCACGTGTGAACCATGGGGAATACGAAAACACTTTATTTTTACATTTAGGGACATGGACCTCAAAGATCTTATTGATAACTGAATACAAGGCGGTACAAGCGACATCAACATTAACTACACTGATCAGCTCTGTCCAATTAACATCTTGCAAGACTGTGTACATTTCAGGAAAGTTAGCTTTGCGAAAGTTAAACCGTGGAGAATTAGCAAATGGGAATTTCGTTGGAGATCCGGATGTAATGAATTCCATGATCAGTGCAGGATGATGAACGTCCTCTTCAACCGAAGGTGTATTATGTCTGATGACTTCTATTTCGATATTTCCTAAAATTAAATCCAATATTCGACCATTTATATTAGGAATATTATTAATAATGATTAACCCTGGTATTTTTGACATTGACCGATAATATCTCATGGTTTCCGTAATGATGTTACGTATTGGTTTTGAATATTCAGGGCTATTTTAGGATCGTCCTGTGTTCCATTGTGAGTTTAAACACTGTGGCAAATGTCATCTGGTCGACATCGCTATGTGTCCCATTTCCGATATCCAATTCCGCTCCGTGAGTTTGCATTCACCAAAAAATGCACTGTGTTGGTCACCGTTAGTGTGATAAATAAATAAACTGTCGGCCGTGCGTAATGCTTTTTTAAATTTCAGCTTGATGGTAAAAAATTAACATTTTGCGTGTAAGTTCAACTGGTAGTAAACGTGCTCAAGTCCATTAGTCTGAAGACCATTGGTCATTTTTTAATGAAACGCTGACCTGCGTGACGTTTCTTGTGGGGAAGTTGCGGAAATATATTGATTTTATGTAGATCCAGAAATCACCTCTGTTGCATAATGTTGATTGAAATACCATGATAGGGTTACATTTAGAAAAACAAAGATTTTCGAGAATAATGTGGCTTGAGATGAAATGTATTTCAAGTGTAATTTAATTTTTTTTTATTCTATAAACATATAATTTGAGTGCTCGTTCTTACACTTCATTGACTTTGAAGGATTCCTCACTTGCGTTAAAATTCTTTTGGTGACAGATGTGGATCCAACAGTGTAAAAGTTCTCTTTTTCCATTAGGGGCGTGTCAGAAGTGTTCTCTATTTCTAAAAAATCACGAATGTTGTTGAAGGCATAAGCCACTCACCACAAAATTAAATATTATGGATGCATATTAAAATTATATGTGGTCTAAGATGGTCGCTCTCAATATAGATGATGATATTAAAAATAGACGGTTGGAAGTCATTATCTAGTGATATTATGAAACTAATACAAAAAAGGTAATCAAAGCATAAGCTACATCTAGAACGACAACAAAGTAATGAGCTACAAATTCATGTATTCGCCCCAGTCCCATCTTGGAGTTTTTAGTTGATTACTACTTTTTGGCGTGAACATGTGTGGGATATCGTGACTGTTCAAAAACACTATTTAGAAGCTATAATGGCATCTATCAGCGAATTGTCAAAAATGATCACCTACGGACATAGATACCTACGCCACGGGTAATTTTAGATAGAAATATGACTTTTTATTTAAATGTGTCTTAGGTACCCTACATGTAACAGGACTCTTTCGATTATTGTTGTAATAATGAGAAGAGTGTTGTTTTAAAAACGATGGTTACCCTGAATTTAGGATACTGTGACTTCGGTGTTGCTTTAAGTGGCTTTCCTCTGTATGAGGGACACTAGAAAAGAAATCTACCCCGCCCTGAAAAAACAATTGAAACGCACAAACATAATATGTCAAATAGGCATGTGTTCTAACCTTGCGAAATTTAAACTGATTTTGATAAGACTTTCCAATTTATAAAGTGAACTGTGAGGAAAAATAAGTAACTTGAAGTTACAGTATTGCAAAGTAATAACATTTCTGACAAAAGAGCGCCAGCAGCCGAAAACAATTCTTGAGAGAATGGTTGCCGTCTATGGAGATGATGCACCATCATATTACAAAATAAAATTTCAATCGGAGAGATTTCAATTGGGGTGTGAATCTATAGAAGACGATCCCTTAAGTGGAAGATCCAAAACAGCAAAAGTTGGAGCCGTGCTTCTCGAAAATCGTCGTGTGAAGATCTTTACCATTACTATGGTATTGATAATATCAGAACCCAGCATAATAACCATCCTGCACTACAATTGGAATATGAGTAAGGTGTCAGCTAGGTGGCGTGGGTTCCACGACAAAAATTGCGCAGGTGGGAAATTTCATGGAGTCATTTGAAAACGTTGATCAACGATTATAACCTTTTGACACAAATTGTGACAGGCGAGGAGACTTCTGTGCAACATTGAGATCTTGAAGTTATGACGCAGAAAAGTATGCACGTGGAAGAAGAAAATGCTGAAGAAAGCATCGAACCTCGTGGTGATAAATAGAGGTACTTCATGCTTGCCGCAGATTCTTCGTTTGTTCGTGGTATTGTACATTTTAGCCATTTTAAATATTTCAAGTTATATTTGTAGTCAGTCTTGTGAAGTAAAAATAACACTTTAAAAAACCCGAACGGCCATTTCGGCAACACATCTGGCGCAGTCATCCAATAGGATTTAGCGCAGTTTTCCGAAAATTCGCGCCATCGTGACCGGTTTCGTGAAAACGTGGGTATGGTCCCTTCAGCGTTCATCCTACAGCAACGAACGAAGGATCCAACTGCCCAAGAGCGAGAAATTAGCCCGTTGCTTCTGCCTGCCGCCTTCCAAGAAGATAGGAGTAGAAGGATCAATGACGCAATTGTCACACCTTTAAAAAGATGCGCATATACTCGTCATTCCCTTAATGTGGTATCCTTACAGATACGAGTATAAAGTATGTGTATATATTCGTTTCTCTCGATAGGAAGAGCGTATGAATAAGATATTAAACATACAACCATGTATCCAATAATTCCAATTACTTTATTGAAAATTATTGACAAAAAAGCTCATTCAACTACACTACGAATGATATAAACCAAAACATGGCGCTGTACACAGTCCAGTTTTACATGATTCGCACCAATATATACTCTATTTCCTCTTGCCTCTCTCTCTACATACTACAGACCTTTTTGTCGGTTTCTTTTTATGTGCTGTGGATGGTATTACAGATGAAAAATGCTTCTCAATCAACCGACTTGCATTTTTTGTTTTTGATCGTCTACCTGCATTACAATACTTAGGTATCTCTTCCATATTTTTCTATCAGCTTTTCAGCTATACCTATTACAAAGGTCAGACGTGACTTCCTACCACCAAGTTTTCTGTAAAGGATGTAACTGTTTAATGCAGTTATATCTAGGAAGTGAGGAAATATTTTTCTGTAATATTTTTTTAAGTGCATAAAAATGGAGCATGTTGTCTGTTAAATCTACTCCGCCCATTTTTTTATTATAATGCTCTGCAACTACTGGCTTTTCCATTTCCTTCCCTCTTTTTTTCCTCTGCAAACTGATTTTCATGTAAAGTACTTATCATCACTATTTCTTTTTTATCTTTATACTTCAGCAACATAATTTTCTTTCTAAATAAGACATATGCTTCTCTATGTTCCAACTGTTTCTCCTTCAGCTCTTTTGGTATACCTTTCCTATTCAACCTCAATGTGCCAACACAATCTGTGCGCCTCATCGATAACTTTTCTGCCTAGTCCACGCTGGTATAGTAGTTATAGAGAAACAGAAGAAGATATTATTTGAGAGTTCTAATACCACTCTAGCTGATAAAGGTTCACTCGCGCAGCTGTTGCCATAGTTTGTATCAGCTCCGGTATATATCACAAAGTTCTAGGTGTAGTCTGTTGAGTTTTCAGCTAAAATAAATAGTTTTATCGCAAACCTTTTACTTTTCGATGGGATGTACTGTTTCCACGTTAGGCGGCCTTTCCAACCTAGTAGTGACTCGTCAATAGAATTTTTTTGTTCAGGTATGTAAACCTTTTTTGCAGGGGATCTAGGACAGGTTTAATTTTGAATAGCTCCCTCTGAGAAGTGTTTTCGTCAATTTCGTTATTATTAGAAAAATGTAGTAAATTACATATAAGTGCAAACTTCCTCTCAGTCGACACCTTGGAAATAAAAGATGTTTCTATGCTTTTCATTTCATTAGCATCCGATTGAGTCCAGGCGCGAACTCTTGACCGAGGCCTGATATTTTCATGGTTCTTGATAATGAACTGATTGGCGCACCTAGAATAAGACAAATGTAGAGTATTCATAATAAGTGGAGAATAACATCATTTTACCTATTTGTTTCTTCTACTACAAGGTTTGTCAAATGCTGATCCATGAATAATTCAAAGATCTCCAAAATATTATCCGAGCTAATATCAGGAACTTTTATACCAGGATCTGAAGTGAAGAGAAAGTTAGGACGCAGTATACCTTCTTTGAAAAGATCGCTGTTGTAATCGAATGAAGATTCACTTGCGTCAGACATTACATAAAGGTAGCGCGCAAAACGTCTGGACTCCAGCCTATCAGACCTCAATTGAGCTCATTTAACAGAAAGCGGCAAGTTTTGTATACCATTCGAACGTGGGAAGAGTGGGGATTCCCATAAAATATAATAGCGACTATATTCGTATTATTCCTGAAATGCGGCGTTTAAAAAGGTGAGGCGAATATACTCGTACTCTCTAACCAAGTTATATATTCGTCATATTCGGTTAAGAGGTTAACTTACCGGGAATTGCGAATATTCTCACATTAAATACATACAACCACATCCAAATTCTGGCAACACGGTTCAGAGGTTAAAAGCCCCGCTTTTCCCCTATTCGCTAGGTAACGCTAGTATTATTCAATCGTATCATACTTTTATTCACTTTGTAGAAACTACTTCATTAACACGACAGATTACGAATTAATAAGATAACATTGTTCCAAGAATTCGTCAGAAACGAGGATTGATTAATCTTGTAGGAAAAACTTCAAAGTTTCTTTTTGATACAATGGTCTCATATGACGCAATCAAAATTAATAATGCACTTCATGAAATACAAAAAAAACGCAAATTCTGTGCATAGTCAACTGAAACTTCAGACCTTACTGACTAGATAGATAGATAATTAAAATTCTACAATTTCGTTATTAAGCTCTAATCAGGTACAGATCAAAGCAAAATTGTAACATCTCCAAAATACGATGAATGCAACTATAGGAGGCTTGACAGCTTATCTTCGCGCAGAAAATATTTTACAGCAACTTAATCAAAATTGTCAAAATTTTATTACATTTTTAGATACTTTGGAGTACGCTATAATGCTTTCAAAGTGGAACACTTTACATAGTTCTATCATATCAGTTTCAGACTTAGAGAAAAACATAAAGCATTTTTAGTAAAATTGTAAGGAAATTGTAAAAGGAAAGTACCAAATTTTTTTCACTATTTAGTCGCTGATCCGCAAATTACATTTATTGATAATAAAATCGTGTTTTCTATAAGATTTCCTATATCATCTGATGAAAAATTCCAATTTTTCCGTCTATACCCAGTTCCTACTAGAAATTCAACCATTATTCCAACCCATCCCTTTTTGGCTCTTGGAACAAGTCATCAGCAATTTGAAGAAGAAGAATGTGCAGAAATTGAAAATGTCTACTTCTGCGAGAATCGACAAGAACCCATCCAAGGTTGTCTAAACGAGTTACTGAAGAAAGCCCACAAGGTTACAAATATCCAGTCCTATTGTTGAAACTATATCAGCAAAACACATTTTGGTCATTCCCGCTGACCAGCCTGTCACAGCAGTCAAGTTGTGTGGTACTCAACAACCACTTAGTTTAGAAACGCCAAGTTTAGTCGAGATACCCGGAAATTGTGGAATACAAATCAACTCATCCAAGTTTCAGAACAAAATTTTCTTCAAATGCAAGAATAGGCCGCTATTGATCCCTTAATTTGGTTTTCTAGCAGCCCAGTTTTTACTATTTTTCTGCTTGTTGCAGTAGCAGTAACCTTTTCGTATATTTGGAGAAAACAAATCTAGAAGAAAAATGTTCTACCCCAAGACAAGGCAGATGAAGAATATTCTGAATGCAGTGAAGAGAGGCCCAAGAAGGATGCAAAAACAAGAAAACCTGCTGAAAGCAGAAAACATTCCTATTCAGTTTTCAGACTAGGTGGGGAGGAGTTATGACGCAGAAAAGGATGCATGTGGAAGAAGAAAATGCTGAGGAAAGCATCCAAGCCCTTGGTGATGCTTTCCGCAGATTTCTCGTTTGTTCATCGTATTGTACATTTTATCCATTGTAAGATATTTCAAGTTATAGTTGTAGTCAGTCTTGTAAAATAAAAATATTTTTTTTTTTAAAACCGTAACGGCCATTTCGCCAACATATCTTTGAGACGAACACAGCAGTGGGTTCATAAAGGGTCTCCACTTTTTTTTGGAGCGCGAAGGCTATCATCCCCATTGAATATATACCAAAAGGGAGAACAATAAATGCGTACGTCTAAGTCGATTTGTACCTTTGCTTCTATATTAATTCTATGTGTTTATATTTTCTTTTCTTCTTGATCTTTACTTGTTCTAACCTTTCTACCTTTTGGTTTAGTAATACATTCGGCATATTTTTTCTTTATTGTTTAAATTGTGATGTAATTGAAACTATTTTCTGTTGGGCCACAAATATGTTTGTTTGTTTTTGTTTGTCAAAGGTCTCCAATGCATTCCTAGATTCCTTTCTGAATGCAAAGCCGCTACTCTTTACCATAAGCATCGATGTCGAACAGAATTTAAATTACAAATTCCACTTTGCATCAAAAAATAAAGACGTTACAGCCAAGCTCCTTGGAGGCTTGTTATTTTATTTGCAATATTCACTTTGAGAGCAGACCGTGTACTTATCTTTTTGGTGCATGGTTCGTTTTAAGATACAGTTTCGAGCTTTTAACCTAAAAGCTTAAGGTCTTCCGCTCTAGCCAGGACAAAGTGGATGAAACTTGCCTTTTAGTCCCACGATGTTTAGTGTCTCCGATCGAGAAAATAGCGCAGGTGTTTTGAATACGGATAGTTATAGTAAGCACTTTCCATTCCATCGTTTTTAGCGGGAAACAACCGTTTACACTTGCACTTATAGTTCGTGATTTCAAAATAAATTGGTGACTTAGCCAAGTCACCGTTGGTCATCACAGCGGTCCATAGAACCTCAGGTGTTGTATCATGGTGTCAGTTCGTAAGTATGTTAGGCTCAGTAACCCAGAAATCAGACTCTGTTAAAAAATGAAAGAGGAAAAGAAAGGCGGAAGGCATCAACACATACATAAAATACCTACATAATCCTCATTATGTAGGCGTATTCATCTATTTGGACTTTTTTTTTATTGTAGAATCGCATTGTAATTGTGTATTCATTTGGTTCAACTTATGCTTTTATTGAGAATACGGTGACGTAACACGTTTATTTTTTCTACATGTTTTGTGCCCCAGTGTGTCTCATTATGGATCTGAGGTTGAAAACTCTGTGACCTTACGGTTATAAAGGGTGGGCCATCTGTTGGTTTCTTTTTTAAATTGGTATTAAAACTACACTCTTCAATAATATGTAGCATTCGATACTTCATTCAAAAGAATACACCTTCCGATTATTTATGAAAAACAATTTCAGTTAAATGGCTGCCGCGGCTGGCCTGGCAGTTGACCATCCTCTTAACCCAAACATATTTTTGATAGTTTGTGGGTCTATTTCATCAATAGCTCGACGGATACTTTCCATAAGAACATCAATTGTTTGAGGATCATTAGTGTAACAGCGTCCCTAACTGTACCTCATAAGACTTAATCCATGGGCGTCAAAACACAGCTGCCAATGAACGTCTCCAAAACGGCTGATAACGCGATGACCAAACTTAGTGTGTAAAAGATCGATTATTTCCCGGCTAGTGTGGCAAGTTGCGCCATCCTGCTGGAACCAGAGATTGTCAAGTGCATGTCGTCTATTTGCGACCACAAAAAAATCCTCAACATGTCTCTATAGCGTTCCCCGTTTACCGTCAAGCCGTTAGCATCTTTATCTTGAAAAAAGGAGCCAACACTCCCACCACTCCAAAAGCCATACCAAACAGTTACTCTTTTTGGAATGCATTGGATTTTCTATGACATGTGGATTTTCAGAACCCCAAATCCTACAGTTCTGTTTGTTAACGTAACCTCCCAGATGGAAATAGGCTTCGTCCGAAAAGATGATTTGGCGACCAAAATTGACGTTCGTTTCCAATTAATTTAGAGCCCACACAGAGAAACGATATCGAAGCGGATAGTCATTTTGTTTCAACTCTTGCACAAGTTGCACCTTGTAAGGAAGTAATCCCAGGTTGTTATGCAATATTATCCGCACATAAGTGCGACTGGTGCCCACTTGTGCTCTGTGACGAGTTGACATTCTTGCGTTTTCACGCACACTCAGGG